AGAAAAACCATATCAGTGCCTGGATTGTGGGAAACGGTTCAGTCAGAGTTCCTACCTGGTGAAACACAAGAGGACTCACACTGGAGAGAAACCCTTTGAATGTCCTGTTTGTGGGAAAAGTTTCAGTCGAAATTTCATCCTGGTAGAACACCAGACAACACACACAGGAGAGGAACCATATAAATGTCCTGTTTGTGGCAAAAGTTTCATTCGAAATTACAACCTGGTGATACACCAGAGAATTCACACAGGAGAAAAACCATATAAATGTGCTGTTTGTGCGAAAAGTTTCAATCAGAATTCCAGCCTGGTGGAACACCAGAGAACTCACACAGGAGAAAAACCATATCAGTGTTTGGATTGCGGGAAACGGTTCAGTCGAAGTTCCTGCCTGGTGAAACACAAGAGGACTCACACAGGAGAGAAACTGTATAAATGTCCTGTTTGTGGGAAAAGTTTCAGTCTGAATACCAGCTTGGTGAAACACCAGAGAACTCACACAGGAGAAAAACCATATCAGTGCCTGGATTGTGGGAAACATTTCAGTCAGAGTTCCTGCCTGGTGAAACATAAGAGGACTCACACTGGGGAGAAACCCTTTGAATGCCCTGTTTGTGGGAAAAGTTTCCGTGAAAATTCCTGCCTGGTGAGACACCAGAGGACGCACACAGGAGAAAAACCGTATGAGTGCCTGGATTGTGGGAAAAGTTTCAAGGAAAGTTCCCACCTGGTGGAACATCACAGGACACACACAGGAGAAAAACCATACAAATGTAGTGATTGTGGAAAAGGTTTCAAGCAGAGATCTAAGCTTGTGAGACACCAGAGAACTCACACAGGAGTAAAACCATTTCAATGTCCAGATTGTGGGAAAAGTTTCAGTCAGAATTCTAACCTGATGATACACCAGAGAACTCACACTGGAGAAAAACCTTATCAGTGTCTGGATTGTGGCAAAAGTTTCAAGCAGAATTCTAAGCTTGTGATGCACCGGAGGGCTCACACTGGAGAGAAACCATATGAGTGTCCAGATTGTGGGAAAAGTTTCAAGCAGAATTCCATGCTTGTGGTACACCAGAGGTCTCACACAGGAGAAAAACCATATGAGTGTCCAGATTGTGGGAAAGATTTCAGTATCAGGTCTAGCCTTATAAATCATGTAAGGTTACACACAGGAGAGAAACCATATGAGTGTCCAGATTGTGGGAAAGATTTCAGTATCAGGTCTAACCTTATAAATCATGTAAGGTTACACACAGGGGAGAAACCATTCAAGTGTCCAGATTGTGGGAAGTGTTTCGCACAAAATTCCTCTCTTATTGTACACAAGAAATTCCATTTGAAACAAAATTTGATGTGTGTAGAAGAATCTTGAATTTCATTTTTCTTCTGACTTTTGAAGCCCAGTTGAGGAATTAACCATTTAATTTCTTGTTTTATTCTTTTTAGTCAAACATGTCTTGGTATCAAACATGAGGGAGGAGATCTGAGCTTGCTTTCTCGGGAGTTGTGTGGTTGTTCCTCTTCATAACATCAAGGGGAATTGCCATGCTGGGTCAGAGAAAAGGCGCTTAGATCTCTATTAGGTATATTTGCCACCTTGAGTTATTTCTACTTCTAATTAAGGTGGGATATAGATGTGTATGTGTGTGTGTATGTATTTTTATTTAGAAATTGTGTATGGCAGCCCAATACAATGTGACTCCAGACAGTTTACAGCAATAAAATACAGAAAGCAATCAACATATATAGTAAATAGCAAAATACAAAGCCTTGACATTTGGCATACTCCCACACCATTGCATTCCCCACCAGACTAAAAACAGCCCTTTCTCCGGGTGGCAAACTCAGAGGTGCAAGCAGAGGGCGAGTTGTAGTCCTAAGCTGCCAGTCTTTCACTGCCCTCTTCAGCTGTAATTAGAAAATATCTGAATCTGCAGCAATGCCTTGAACTGCTCTGCCAGGAAAACCTCTCATGATTTTATTATGCATAGTAAACTACTGTTGAAGGTATAAAGCCTGCCAGGGTGCCAACTTTCCAGAAGGGGGGAAATTACACTTCCAGCTCTCTCTTGAGCCTGGAAAAGAATATGGGTGGTTCTCGGGTTGCAACAGCATTTAATGCTAGTACTGTCAACCCTGAAACCATTTTGGAAAGATTTTTTTGTCAAGTTTATTTTTTTAAAAACACATCAATATCATTTTGTGAACAGTGTGGTATCTGAGTATCATCATTTTGATACAAAAGCAATAATAATAAAAATAAGTACTAAATTAGTCCAGCTTATGTGGTCTAATATTATATCAGTGCTTAGTCCTTCATTTTTCAATTACTAATATTTGCTATACTAATAGTAAAAACTTTTATTTTTGAGCATTCCTAGTAACATCCTTTTTCAAATTCTGATTTTAACCTTTAATATTCACTTTATATATATTGAATAAAAGTATGTATAACAATATTTCCCCATTTCTAAATTTTATATCTATTCTAATTTTTAATGCGGCCAGTCTTAAAAGTTGCTGCATTAATCTAATGTTATACATAACTATGTCAACTCATAATTCTTCATTTTTCCCTTATTCAATATTTGCTACCTCCTTCTAATAGTAATAACATTGTTTTTGAGATACCTAATATCATCCTTTTTCATACTCTGATCTCAACTTCTGATAGTCATTTTAAATATTGTGTTAGATAAAAAATGTATAACGATATTTGTTAAGGTCTTGGGATTTAAGAACTGACCAACAGTGAAGCTGATGCAATATAGGATGATGCAATAAGAATGAATCAACATAGCATGGGTATTTCCCTTTAAGACTGGGGATTAAAGATCCCTTTAAGAGGCGTTTATATATTGTAGCCATTAGAGGGTGTGGTTCTCCTTGTGTTCTGGATTCATTTGCAGAAGTTCTCTGAGGAGAGTTAAGAAGAAAGTTTGCTTACTTGTAAAGGTATTTTGCCTGCCACGTATATTTCTGTATAAAACTGTTGTAGATAAACTACCACTGTTAAGTGTTTAAGTCTCTGTATGCTTTGTTTTGCTCCTGGATTGTCTCATAATGGTAGTCACGCTGCAAATGCTCTGACAATATTCCCCCTATTTCTATAGTTCATTCTAGTTTTAAGCCGGTCTCATTTTTTAAAAACAATCATTCCTATCCATCATCTCTCATTCTCTTGGAAGCTACATTTCTTCTCTTTTTAGCTTGCCTCCCATACTCCTCCCTTGGGTCTTTATATCTTTCATATTCAACCAAAACTTTATTTCCCTCCACAATATTTTTTGCTGCCAGTCCACACATAGGCCTGCCAAATCCTCTATCTTTTTTCTGAAGGTATCTTTCGGTTTATTCAATTCCATTTTTCTATCTCCGTGTATATATTCTACCAACTTTATTTCACCCAACTTTATAATCTTGTTTTGTTTGTTGTGTCATCTTTTCTGTCTCATTCTCTGAGTTTACAGTTGTCTCCCTTTTCTCCTGGGTTTTATTATCTTGCTTCATTGGTCCTTGTTGCACATTTTCAGTCTTTCCAGTTAAATGTTTTGCAGTAGCCTCATAATTTTTGTGTCTCCAGTTCTTTTTGATGAGGCATCTTGCCTTATTTTTTAAAAAATCCAAGTAGTATTCAGTGTTCTTCAATAATCTGTCACCGCTCCAGGGTCTATTCTTTTTGACTTCCCAAAGCCAGCAGATTACTTGATCTTAATATTGTTCATCAGGAGATGCCATAATTAAAATTCTTTGGATCCCACAATTAGTCAATGTGTTTTATTTATACCATCCAGAGAATTTTCCAAGTAGTTCTTTAAGTCCACTTTTTCATTTATTAAATAGTTCCAGTATTCAAAAGTCATTCCATTAGATATCCTCCAGGTTTCTCAAGGTTGACCTCTAGTCATCAGAGAATAGATAAATATGGAACAGTAAATAATGAAGCAAAGCAGACCTCCAGATGTTATTTCTCCTTATAAAAAACAACCCAGGGCCACATTCACCAGTAGATGGCGCCTTCAGCTTAAAAATCAATATTAAAAGTCCGCTTTCAAAAATCGACATTAAAAATCCAGTTTGAGTTACTTTCTCATTAATTCAGACAAGATATCCAATAAACAGTCAAATATCCAGCACTTTGAAGCGCCTATTCAAAGTCCTGTTAGTAATATTTATACATCCAGTTTTTCTATGTTCTGTAGCTTTAGGTATAATTTTCTGTATCCCTCTTTACTTGCTGTTTAAAAGTATTCCAAAGAGTCACTTTCATGGATTAAATTTCTTGTGGGAAAATCATTGACAAAAGTTAAAGATCACATCACCCAGTTCCGATCACTGTCCATTGTCATCGCTCCAGTACACTTTATGGCGGCTATGTTGGTTGCCTCACCTTCACCTCCAGTAGAGAGGGAAGAAGCCCTGGGTCCAGCAGGAGAGCTGCCGCTCTCCACAAACAGCAAGGTGCCTCTCGTTAATCACCCTGCAGGGTGACTTTAGCTCCCTGCTGAGCCCTCCAATGATGAGGATTCGATGGAATGTGGAGCCCTGCTCCCCTGTGCCAATCACGCAGCGACATCAACAGGAAGGAAAATTGTCAGGGTTGCTACCTGGTTGAAGCTGTGAGAACGGGAAGGGGGAAGAGAGATAGCTGGGGATCTGTAGCCAAAATAAAATTCATCCTCCTGGGAAGCAAAGACATTCTCACTAGGTGCTGGGGAGGCGTGGACTGAAACCAGCTGGAATTGGGACTGTAACCTGGTTGGTGGGCATGTGGACTGGGGAGAAGAACTTTGATTTTTAATTTGGGTGGGGAAAACTTTGGGGCCTTCAGAGTCGGGTTTTCACCAGATGTGCCAATATGACCTGTTTAATAAATCTGGATTTTGAGGAGCAGCTTGGCCTCGGAGTTTTGATTGCATTGGGTCTGTTACTTGGAACCCTGACAAGAGCTGCTTTATCAGTAGGCAACTGGACTTCCTGGTTTTTCTTTGAAGAAGTTTTGCTTCTCATCCAAGAAGCTTCTTCAGCTCTGACTGGATGGTGGGGTATGGAAGAATTCCTGGTCCTTGCAGACAGCTGGTCATTTGCATTCTTTCAGAGGGTCTTTGAGGCCACCTGGAGGTTGATCTGTGTCCTCAGGGTCACATGAGTTGTGCAAATGGGTGTGGAGCCTTTGTGGCTGTATATTTTTTGTCCTGTGTCCCTTCACTGTTCAAGACAGGTAAAGGCTGTTGGGAGATGAGTCTGTTGTCTGCACCTCAAATTGAAGCAAAATGTTTTCTTTAATTTTTCTGGAAAACCATTGGTATCATGACTTGGCTGACTGAGAATCTCTATAGGCAATTTGGGCTAGACTTTGAATTGCTAAGAAGGGATGGAGCACCAATAGCTTATACCATGCTGGTTAGCTGAACATGGAAGGAAAAGAAACTAAAATCCCAGCAGAGACAAAGGGTCAAGCTTCAGTCTTACAGATTCTCTAATTTGCAGAGGGAGGTTTTGAGGAGTTATCCTGCGCACACACACGCACACCCCAAGAAGAAAAGCTATCGGAAAACAAGGGAGGTGCACTCTGTCTTTTTCTATTTGCACGTCATTTCTACACTATCCCCCACCCTCAAAAGGGAACATGGTTTTGAACTCAATCCATCTTGGTGGGCCCGCTTGGGTTCGTGGGGCATAACTTCTGACCTCTAAGCACTCAAAGCACTCTGGGAGACTTGTCAAAGATTGGCTGTGTGAGGGAGGCAGCAGGTTTCAGTCCCAGGAGTTGTCAGATTCCAAAGGTCTTGCCTCTCTCCATTGGGGACAGTGGGCTGATCTCAGTGGGCTGATGGCCAGTCACTACTCAAGTGACCTCATCTTGGGTCCCATCTCTGGAACTGGATCAGTCTGACAAAGCTTCCAGGACTCCAGATCCTTGGGCCAAATTCCTTGCCTTTGCTCTGCTTCCGCAGCTTCAATGGCTCTCACCACTTCTTCAGAGGAAGAATACCGGTTCTTGACAATTACCCCGGTATCCGTACCCACGGCCCCTTCTTCAGTAGTCTCCTTCTCTTCCACCTTCCCTGAGTCACATGATCCAATAGATACAGTCCCAATGGAGACATTCCTTGAGCCACTCCTCTCCAGGTGCAGACTAACACGTCCTTTACTTCTAGAGAAGAATTTTGTTGTGTCTAATCTTCCACCTCTCTATGAAATCCCCCCTCCCCAATTTCCCAGGCAGAAAAATGTGGCAGCCTCCAAGCTCCCAAGTAATATATGGCTTCTAAGGCTGACAGCCAGGAGTGGGATGCAAAATTTTTAACAAGAGTCTAGTTGAGAATCGTGAAGAGAGCAAAGAAAGTGGATG